AATCTCTTTAAAAAAATTTCCCATTGAGGACTCATTGCATGAAGTATTTTCAGTCTTTTTCCACTTTCAGAAAGGTTGTTCGAACAATTTTCTAGAGCTGCCAACGTAACATAAATGAAGTTGATGTGATTATGGGGACATTATTTAAACTAAGTTTTATAAAACATTCATCGAAGCCTTCATTATACAGATAATATCGACACATCTGGTTTTAAAAAAAGCCCATACACCAACAGGGATTGAACAAACTCAATCGAGAATGTCAACAAGAAAGATCTGAATCCTTACAGTTCGTTAAATATGCTAAATACTACATTGATTTATTGAGAAAGCATTTGGCATCTTATACGTCTGAGTATAGGGGCTAGGACGAAAATTAACGGTGATTTGCTTGTAAATCAAGCTGACAAAAAAGCCGTTTAAATGATCTATATCGATGCAAGTGCAAAATCTAATTTCTAAAATGTTCGAATTCTCGATCTCAAATATAATTCTTAACTTGTGAAATATCCTCGTTTTGTGAAGAAGGAGAGTTTATTATAGATTAAAAACAAATTTAGAAATCTCGAAGTACACATTTGTTTCCCACGCTACAAAGTTGACTCATTAGTATAAAATGAATAGATTCACTGTGTAATTATTATACCTAAAGAACATTATCTACTGTAACTTAAGAGCATTAAATTAAGTGACCTATCTAAATCTGAACTTTGACCGCTTTTAGAGAGTGAACACTAAAGATGAAAGCCTCAAATTTATTTTAATTAATCATTAGTAAACATAACCTAACCTAACACAAATAAACAGCAATTTAACCGGCAAAGCTAGTCTGTCTATGCTCGTTTAGACAGTCATATACGGCCGATTTCTTGCCTTGTGTTACCTTCAACTTGTCTGCCAGGTTACAAGTACGGGGCGAAACGAATATATTGAAAGATTAAGAAGTATTGAAACCAAAATCTACAAGAAAATTCTCAAAAAGGTGGTCACTGAAAGGACAGTATGCTTTCAGTGATACAACCAATCCCACGTCATCTACTTGATAGTGGAAAGGATGCTGATGTTTCAATGTCTTTTACGATAAACAATAAGTAAACAACCTCGAATTTACTACGCTTTGCTAACATTTTGACTAGAAGACTTAAACTTAATGTATTAATAAAAAAGAACACTGTAGTCAGTCTAAATCTTATGCATTCAGTTGTGATAATTAACTGACTATGAAATTTCATCTTAGGTTTAATTTTAATTTTGCAAACCTTGGGTTGCTAGCTGATTACCATGTTGTTGAATTGACAATTCACTATTTAATTTATTTATTTATACTGGTTATTTGGATCTTCATATTGATGTTTAGGACTGAGATTGGTCCAATTATAATTCGCATATGCGCATCCTGTGCAAATCAACTCTGCTTAAAAATTCTTATGATTTAATGGAAATATCGAGACAGTCCACACAGGGTGCACATACACCAATAAGAGACTGACCAATCGCAGTACTAAACATCGATAAAAAGTTTCAAATAACCAATTTATCCCGTCTCATAAGCCAATGGTTTTCTGGAATTAATAGCTAAGTGAGTCATACAATAACGTTCGAAGTCAACGGACCTGGGTTTGAGTCCCGGAGTGAACATCTAGGACGCTGGTACACCAAACTGGTAAGACCCGAATAGAACGAAACAAACGTCCCCTGTTAGCCACCATTCGTCTCTGCTTAAAAATATTTAATTGATATAGATTTTATACTTAACCGTAAAACCTACATTTATTAGTGTTTTCATAAAGAACTAATTGAAAATAAGTATTTCTTGAGTAAACTTGTATTTTGAATGTATCAATAGTAATATTAAATGCACTGAACTTTTGGATTAGCTAAATATCAACGTTTTTTATCACATGCCTTAAATTATAATTTTCTTTATTCTCTTTTGTTTTATATCTGAGTTTTGCCTATCAAGTTTATATCGTTCCTCTCATTTATTATTAAATAGCCTATGAGATTATTCTGCTGTATCTAAAATTTTGTTTCAATGCTTTGGTTTAATATTTATCTAGTAATTTTTTAAATTAAAAATCGAACGAACAACATTTTTTTTAATCTCTCAACAACTATAGTTAGTTTCCATTATCCAAATTTCTCTGTATTTCTAACGTAATTTAACCCATACATATCTAATACAAAATAAGTGTAAAATTGTTTTATTTTTAATGATTTATACTATTTTGTGTTTAGGTTGTAAGTATTTCAAAAGAATTCACGAAAGATAAACGAGAATTCATGACTTATTCTGCTGTGACTATTGTTGTTCTCAATACCATTTTTTTCTTATAGACCGCCCAAATTTATCTGTAGATTACGAGTGTATAAAAATCAAAAGTCTACAATTTTGCATTTAATCATAAAATTTACCTTTCTTCCAAATATTCTTATTATTTGTCAAAATATACGAAAAAAAAGATCATTCCTAGTCACGAAATATTGTGAACTGACTGAAGTGAGAAATGTAAACTATTGGGTGTCAAACTAATGGTTTATAGGATTAGTGATCTCCGCGATACCTCGAGGTCCTGGGTTCGATTCTTGATGAGATCGTGAATACACACTGCTGAGGAGCCTCGTGCTGGAGCGAAACAGCCGTCAAAGGCTTCGTGGTTCTCAATAGTTCTCTAACTACGACCAGTTTGTGATGTAAACTATAAAATTTAAGAATCTCTACGAACCTATTCATTAATATTCATCGTAAGTTAGATTATTTAAAAATATATGCCAATCAAATACGCCTATTAGACATAGTTCAATAAAAATAATTGATAATGAATCTTCTCATTCCTCTGGAAACACATTTACTATCAATAATGCGTATCACATGACAACTAAATTCATAATGATAATTGTACTATACTAGTAAAATAATGGATTATTCATTAATTAATTTAATGCACCATTATCGCGTTATTGTACAATAGAATTTCAGTGGAAATAGCTAAATAGCAAGAAAACCTGTCAAGCAACACATCGTAACTGAGTTACAAAGAGTAATCACACGACTTTATAGTCAGAGATGTTAAAGTTAGCTTTCTAAAGTGTGTAAAGCATCGATAAAATGTCAAGAACCACATAACCTAGGGGGCTATAGTTGCTGACTGAATGCCTAAGGGCAACAAGATTTTCCACAAGCCTACAACTAGCAGATAAGAGGTTCTGATAATAAACATAATTAGTGTAGACAAAGATCATTTACCAATTAATTTGGAATGACGAAACATACATGTGACTAAATACATAATAATAAATATTGATGTAAGTAATCGACAACTAGTTTGATTCATTATAATGGTATTGTAACTTATTTTTTCCACGATTTAAACTAGATCTAACTAAACTGAGCAATGCGTCAACGCTTCAGTAATTGATGTGGCTCAATCCGATTGTCTTCAGTTGTATGTATTCTAGAAGACAGATTCATTTCTAGGAGTGAAAGGCTATACAATTGACAGATAATTGATCAAGAAATGGATTTTAGTTTGAAAGAATTATACAGACCTCTGAAACGAAAATAGTTCGAAGTGAATACTACAATATTATAACTCAATGGATTAAGGACTTTACTGTTAGTATATGAAGATTTGATTTCTACTCAAGTACCACTATATAACCGTCTAAATACGAAGATAATATAGTTTAACTTAGCATATGTAACAAAATTACACCCAACTGCTATTCCATTAAATATCTAGCCTATCTGATCTAATGGTAAAGATAACAATAAGCATAAAAATTAAACCTCTTTCCAACCTTCATGCTTAATATGATGAGATCACATAAGGTTCAATTAAAGTATCAAAATGTTATATACTTATGAATCATTGTAGCTGACAACTGTTTAAAAATATAGTATTTAAAATCACACTTATTCAAAGTACGGATGGTAATTTATTCAACCACTGTTTGTGACACCTATAAAACAATGAAATAACGATATTTGTAAATAACTACTATATATGACAACATATTGACTAAAAACGTAGATGTTTAATAATATTAGAATGGTACATAAAATGCATACAAAAATGTATGATGAGTACAATGCTTAGTTTCATAGAAAGAATATAATAATTTTCTAATTAAAAACAACCACAACTCCAATTAATTAGATCTTAATGTAATAAAATAAATTTCGGCAGAATTCCACCCACACGAAAATGATAGAATTAATAAATGCATACAATTCTTTAATATGAAAAGTACCTATTTAGTCCCCGTGATTTATATTATAAACACTCTAAAATCTCATCTCTAATAATAATAATAAAGCATAATACATCCACATTTTGTGAGTTAAAATACTACAAAGAACTTACGAAAGATTATTTTAAAATATCACAAAATGTATTAACCAAAAGAATATACATATATTCTGCCATAGATTACAATGCTACTTGACTAAAATACTATGTGTATTTAGTGTACAAACTTTTTCAGTCAGTCATAATCACCATAGAGATTGACATAAACATTTCATGATATTGAAAACTATTTGATAAATCATTTCTTTAGTGTTGATGAGTAAAATGTATTGGATATATATTTCTTAACTAAAGATAGATAACAGAAAAAAATTATCTCTAAAATTTGTGTTCTCTCATATTTTTTATTTGATTTTGAAGACGCTATTACTCAGTTCTCCAGTGTAAAACATTCTTGCTAATCGAGTTAAGTAATAGTTTGCGTTCTATACATGATTTTATCAAGTAAACAAAATCAGCTTCCAGATGATGACATATTATAGTTTAAACCTGAAAACTTAATAGATTTTGTCAATAACCAGTGATTAAAAGGCAATAGTAAACGTCAAAAACCTAATTTTTGAAATCAATGTAAGTTTATTATTACTGATAATTAGATATTATAGTACCATTAAAAAAGACAAATGCTTTTGAATTGCATATTTGATGTTCTATACATAATATTCGAAAAATAAAACAATGACATACTTGATCTGTTCTACTGCTGGAAGCATTACGAGGCATTCTACGAAGGCTATGAGAACCACTGGAATACGAGTCACCTGACATTGAAAAGAAAATAACATCAATGAAACCAATTTATTCGAAAGGATTTTGTGGAGATTGATTTAATTTCTAAATAGTACTCATCAAAGATCGACCACATTTAGGTTATCGTAAAAAATCAAGGTTCATTGGACATCTGTTTTGTCGTAGTATGGGACTCTAAGATGTTCCTGAATTCCTAGTGAGATATTTCAATTTATAGAGTTCAGATAGGTCGAGAGATAGACAGTTATTTCCAAGAGCATTGGAGAATCGTCAAGTTAAATAACAAGTTATCTGCACTTGAAACGGCACAGCTGGATCCTGACCCAATGGTTCTAATGACTAGAAAAATAGCTGAAGATCCTGGGTCCGATTCCTAGTGATGTCGTACGTGGACACTGCTGAGGAGTCCCATAATAAAACAAGACATATTCACTTTTGTCTGGTTTTCAATGGTACGCAAAATAAGATCAACCTGTGATGAATACTACCTGGAGATTAAAGCAATGAAAAGAACTTCATTATTGGTAAAGTAAAATCACCGAATGATACAATAAGAAAAACTTCATTTGCATATTCGTCTTTCAGTAGTAGAATAAAACTAGAAGTTTTCGAATAATTTCTCCAAGTTTAACTGTTTTGCTGTGTCTTTACACAATAACACAAATTTCCATCTTGTATTTTTCTAAATTCCTTAGCAGTGTTAATGAAACTCTATTAAGATCAATATGACATAATCCAATCGCTCTCTCAGTATGGAGATTAATATCGATATGATTTCTCTAATACTCCACAGTATCAAAAAATAATCATGCGATTTACAATTCTTTTACTGTTTTTTCTCTCAAACGATCAATTATTTCAGTTCCATTATTCTCTATCTTACTACCAGAGATGTTTGAAAAAATTGCAAACTTAGTGACTTGAGAAAATTGTATCACGAAACCATTTTTTAAGTCATTGATCCAATCTTAGAAAGACGAACGTGAATAGTGGTACGGTCTACTTTTTTTTCTTGTTACATAATTGATAAAACTAAGTTCACTGTCTAATGTTAGTTACCAGCAATAACTAAAATAATCATGACGTAAGTGTGATAATCAATCTGTACCTTGTAAAGCAAGTGCGGTTGGCGTTGTTGTAGCGGAACTACGTCTTAATCGTTCCATATCGGCTAGAGCTCGATCTCGTTCTGTTTGACTTGTTTCTAGAAGACGTCTAAGACGATCTAATTCTGTATGTAATTGATTTTTCTCTTCTAATGCGGCCATTTTTTCACGTAAATGTGTCTGTAATCGTTCATTAGATTCCAATAGTAATTTGTCAACCTTTTAAAAGATAAAACAAATTATATATAAAAAACAATCAGAATAGAAGGAATTCTGAGGAAAAAAGTTCAGCTTTATTATTCAAAAGAAGTATAAATTACGTAAGTGTAACTCATCCTAGATATCAAATTATAGTAAGTGATATATCTTCAACCTTAAATTTTCTTACAAGCGGCTTTTCAGACAAAAAAGGGTTACTTCAGTAAAATCGCTAACAAAGGGCGCGCCTTACATTTTTTTCAAATATTGTAGATCTTTTATGACAGATTAATAACTTTCATTATTTATAAAGTAACGTTATATCTATTCTTCGTATCGTTTCAAACCATCTCGTCTTGGTAGTAAGGGGTGCTAATATATGTATGGCGTATGTTTTTATAAAATACGTAGTTTGAGGTATTGTTATATTTCTGTTATCGTAGGCTTTTATTTCAATTATTCAATGTTGTTTTGTGTTTTACTGTTTCCTAATTATGGTTAAATAATTATACATTTGTGGTGAATGTGAACTTAGGCGGAAATAACCAATTAATTGTTTGATCCAAAATTATCGAGTGCTTTCGTAAAGTATAAAAATTATACATTAAATTCATGATTTGCACAAATTCCTTTAGTTGTCTTTTACATGCTGCATGATTCTTTCAGTTCTGTTGTTATTAAGATTGCTCTCTGATTCCTAGGCATTCCACTTCTTATTGGTGATACATACTACTAATATCTGTCAACATAAGTAGCATATACCACATATCTATTGCTCAGTATTTTTATGCACAAGTTAGGATTTTTCTTGTTTGTAGTATTTTGTGATCATTTAACTGATGTATGTAATCCTTAGAGGTTTTTCAGTCAAGATGACAATATACACAGTAATAAGAGGTAAATCTGTTTGGAATCTTAGTATTCTGATTGGCTACTAGGGACTAAAGAAATTGTGTGAGTTGATTGGAGTTTGAATCTTCAATCACTGTTCACGGTTATTGGTGTTATTAATTAAGGAGAAGATAATCATAAGTTTGATCGGTTAAAAATGAAAATATCATTAATAGGCTTGATAGTCCAGTAGATCCAATTGTGTAGGGTATATAAATGGTTGAAATTAAAACAAGGATAACATCAATCTATACTATGATTCCTGTATATGTTATAATAAATCCAAACATTCAGTAAACATACCGTCGCAGTTAAACGTGAACTATGATCCTCATTTAATTGTTCGCGTTGTCTAGCTCTTTGTAATTCTGACTGGATTTCATTCATTTCAACTTCCATATCTTTAATACGTTCTTCAGCTGTAGATAATTGTACACGCAATTCGTCAACAACTGTTATGTTAGGATTATTGTTGTTACCGTTATTATCATTAATTAAATGAGAACTTTTGCCGTTTTTAATAGTTTTTTCATCATTAGAAATAGTTTCATTTTCAATAGACTCAATAAATTCACCACCATTTTCAATAGCCGTATGCATTAGAGTTGATGTTGTTGTAGGTGTATTCACTTTTTCATTTTGTTGCATTGTATTCACTTTGACAATGGCTAATTCGTTTTGTACTGTTTCTAATTCGCTAACCAAATGATTTGCATGATCTTTTGCCTTTATTATTATTGTGTAATTGAAGTGATAGAAAAAGAATAAACATAGAATGGTTATAGCAATGAAAAAATATTGCTATGACAACTATACAGTAAATGATGACGAAATTATTAGATTTGTCAATTAAGAAATTGTACAGTAGCTTTTTCTCTCTCGCGCTCGCTCACTTACCCATTCGCTCAGTTTTGATTACTCAATTATGATCAATTAGTACGCTCCACACCAGTGTATACTATAAACAATGAAGATATGATTTGATTGTGAACGAAGAATTTTCAAGTACCGTTAAGGGTATGAGGCCAGTTATCCTTTCGAGTTTGTACATACAGTTGAAAGATACTTAATCTTGAGGTACGTTAAAAAAAGAATCATAGAGTGATTTTAAAGACGTAGGAGAGTGACTAAAGTGCCCAAAAGACAGTTGGAAATCTATGGAGTAACGTAAAGTGTACTGTCTTTAGGGTCGATCTATTGTAAGCCCACTTCACCTGTTGTCAGAAAACAGAGTAGATGCAGATGCTGTGACTCTTATGTTTTCGACCCTACTTCTCATTAACTAACCTGCTTATCACGTTAAGACTTAGAGGAACGAATGTCCCAGGTAATATAGGTCAATTGACTCATCACAATATCCAAGACCGACCAGCACGTTAAGGTAGCAGCTATTGTCATATGTAAATTCATTTAATTTCGACCAATCTCTAAATCCACAGTTCTATAATCCCTTCATACATACCTTTTCATCCCGTTTGTTAAAACCACAATCTCAGTGACGAATCTTTCTTGCTACCATAGCCACTAAAATATTTCAATTCATTTACTATCCATAATGTTAATTTTATCCAGTCGTGCTAATGTACTGTGAAAACTTGGGCCGACTCAAACTTGTTTAAGGCTCTTCATTGATTATGACTGACTGAATGACTGAGTATACACTATTCATCAGATTAATGACCTGATAATGTAAAAAGTCAATAAATGTGAACAAATGATAAGCAAAAATTCGACTGAGAAAATTTTAAAATTAAGATTTGAGGGGAATCTGCAAATACTACTAGCAACTTTTAGAAGGCTTGGCAGTCAGATTATTCTGCAATAAATAGATACATTGATAATGATATGACCTATTACCATGTAAGGTGAAAGTCAAGAAAATAGCCAAAAAGAAGGCAAATATGCACGAAGACAACAAAACTACTAGGAAAAACCGGTCACAAACAAAATCAACAAACCGAAATAAGTTGACACCTATGAGATAAACCTTAACAGTTATGAAATAAACGCAGTTAATGAAGGCATCTCAATATGAAATATCCAGCTCAGAAGGTCTAACGCCACCAAAAGATTCACTATGAGATTTCAGTCAGTCAGTAACAACGTAGAACTTCGTACGTACGTACATCAGTTCGAGTTGCCACACCACATTAGCACAGAGATGCAGTGGTCGATTCAAATCCCGTAGTGATAGAGGCGGTAAGAGTATTAGCAGTAATCGGGAAGATTAGTGTTTGGAGATGTTACTTAAAGAGTATAATACAGTGAAATAAATTTGGAAAGAGGAAGAGACATGAAGAATTCAGAATATTAGAATTTGGGAGAACACAATGAGTGGATGCACCTGCGCCATTGCAAACGATTTTGAGCCATGTCATTCAAGGTCTCTAACCATCGGTTGCTATCATCTCGCGGTCCCCAACCAGGTAGTCTACACCTACCAACATGACTCAGTTCACTTGTCAGTGACTTCATGGACTTGTGCCATATTTTAGTCTGGCCACCCCTAGCTTTCTTCCAACCTACTCCAGTCATATACCACTGAACATCGCACGTCGAGGCAGTCGGTCGTTGGGCATACGTAACACGTATCCCAGCCATCTCAACTGATGAAGTTTCACTACGTCATCAATTGATTTGCCATCCTTACCTAGTACCCGTTTCCTAACAGCTGCACGACTTACTCGATGGTCGCAGGGTATATGAGCAATGCTTCGAAGACAGCTATGATCGAATACTAGTAACCTATGAATATCCTCTACTCTTACCGGCCATGTTTCACTGCCATAAAGTAGGACGGAACGAACTGCTGCGCAGTAAACACGTCCTTTGGTTGATAGACGGATATCTCGCCTACGCCATAAATGACGCAAGTTGGCAAAAGCTAGTCGAGCCTTCTGTATCCGTGCTGAGATTTCGTCACACACCAGACCACAAGGGCTGATGAGACTTCCAAGATAAGTGAAGCGATCGACACGCTCAATTACTTCACTCCCTATCATTAGTTCGGGTGTCAATGCAACCCAGTCCTGAAGCAACATTTTGCATTTCGAGGGGGAAAATCGCATCTCGAATATGCTTGCATTGTTTCTTAGAGTGGTCAGAAGACTGCATTTTGTCAGCGTCTTCGCCAAATAAAACTATGTCATCAGCATATTCTAAGTCAACAAGTGAACCTCCCGGTAGAAGTTCAACCCTTGGAAATTTAGATGAGGAAAGTGTTATCTCTAAAAGTGCGTCGACGACAAAGTTGAACAAGAATGGGGAGAGTGGATAGCCCTGACGAACACCACTTGAGGTAATCAATTCTGATGACAGTTCGCCATAAGCTCTCACTCGACCAGTTGTGTTCGAGTAGAGAGCCTGTATAAGGTTAATGTAGTTCTTTGGTACTCCTTTCAGTGACAAACACTGCCATAGAACCTCACGATCAATAGAGTCGAATGCCGCCTTAAGGTCGAGAAATACTACCGTTGTGGGGCGTCTGAACGTGTGTCTGTGTTCTAGAACCTGACGTAGTGTGAATATCTGATCTATACAACCACGTCCAGGTCGAAAACCGGCTTAGTTTTCTCTAATCTGCTCTTCACGAGCTTTGATTAGGCGTCGAAGTATTATTGAGGCTAATATTTTAGATACTATATTTGTCAAACTGATTCCTCTGTGATTGTCACAAGAGGACTTTTGTCCTTTCTTATAGACTGGCACAATCAGTGATTGAGACCAGTCAGATGGAATTACGTCCAGTTCCCAAATTCTACCTAAGACCTCAGTTAATCTCACTGCTAATACTGGATCACCATCCTTAAAAACCTCAGGAGTAAACCTGTCAGGGCCTGGTGCTCTCCCTCGCTTCAGATTTCCTATGGCTTTTTCAACTTCGTAAAAAGACGGAGGACCTACATTAACTTGCCATTCAGGTTGACTGGAGATCGTGGGAAACCGAAGTGTGGCTGAAGACCAGTTGAACTGATCCCTAAAGTGTTCTGCCCATCGATCCAATCTCCTGGATTGAGAATGTATAATATGTCCATCTTTCTCTGAGAATGTTTCGCTAACAGTCGTATTCCTAATACCGGTTTCCTTAACGAGTCTGAACAATTGTCTGCTATTACCTATTGTCGCTGCCTTTTCCATCTCTCTTGCTTTCGCCACCCACCACTGTTCGCGATCATTGCGTAGGCTTCTTGTCAGCTTGCGCTTAAGCTGACTCCGCTCTTCATTATGTTCAGAGCCAGGTGGAATGAGTTTCCGAGCATCTATCAGTTTGATAGATGCTGCTGAGATCCAGTGTTGCTCCCTAACCTTACGGGTTACCGTACTAGCAGATATCACTGCCGTTTCCACAGCTTTTTGAATATCATTCCATGCTGCCTCGGGGTGGGCATCACCTCTATGGCTGCCTAACTGTTTTCCTAGTTGTTCCTGAAATATACTCTTAGCTTGACTATCATTAAGTAGGACCCTAAGAGGTTTCCTTGCAGCGTCTTTCCTACGTCCAGTAAGACGCAAGCAAATACGCGCTCGCACTAGAGCATGATCTGAATCTAAGCATGTGCTCCAGAATGAGCGACAGTCTTCTATCGAGCCCCTCCATTGGTGGCTGATAGCGATGTGATCTATTCGGGTTCAACGTTGGGTCGAATTGGGGGGTCGTCATGTTAAAAGATGTTTTTCCTTATGCTTAAAGTTAGTATTTGCAAGGAACAGGCGGTTATCTGAGCATAGCTGTAACAGACGGTCGTCATTATTTGTTCTTTGAGCCACGACACCATAAGATCCACCTAGGTGTCTTTCCCTATCGCTTAGTTTACCTACTTGAGCATTAAAGTCACCGGCCACTATTACTACATCAGAGCGCCTAGCTTTTAGGAGAAGGTCGGAAAGCTTTCGGTAAAACTCATCTTTTACATCATCTGAGCTGCAGTCAGTGGGAGAATAGGCAGAAACGACGAAGAGGCAACGACGAGTGTCCCTATCTTTCCGAGTCCGTACTGTTCCGTTTAGTCGGACAGCGCACAAACGACTGTCTACTGGGATCCACTCTAAGAGAGCTAGTTCTGCCCTAGGACTCAATGCTATACCTACGCCGGCGAGGCCACGAGGAGCAGCATCAGGACTTCCAGATACACGAAGTTTGAATCGAGTCGGTTCTTTATTTTGGCATAGTGAGGTCAAATGAATGACGCTACTCGGATCCTGTATGCGCGTTTCGGAGACACAGCATACATCGATGGCGCGGGATTCTAAAGTCCTAGCTAAGGAAGCCTGCTGTCCTATTTGGTACAGTGTTCGGACGTTAAAAGTTCCTACGTGTAGTTTAGAGCGTGGTTTCAGGAGACCAGGAATAACGTTCCGCGTACTCGAATCGTTTGCATAAGCGGTGCGAGGTGATAAAGAGACGTGAGGAGGGTTAGTCATGGAGATAAGAGAGGTATTAGGAGGTGTAGGAAGGATTTGAATGTGACCAACTTGGTCTCGTGTGCTGTTACGGGTATGAGGGCTGATGTCACTTCCCGGCTGCCCACACCGTGGAAGGGTTCTTCTGGAGGAACCTGAAAAGGAAATTGGATCAGTGTTGGTCTTAACGACCTGGGAGCGTGACCGCAGAGCCCAAGGGACAAGTTCTTGAGGCCGCTGCGCACGGCCTTTTCGTGGAAGGTTTTTGATGTGTTAGCTCCGTTGTTCAAAGGGCCTTACCGCCGGAGACGGAAATCCGTGAGGTAAGGTGAGGCGTGACATTTTTAGGGTCGACCTTTTCTAACCCCACCTCTCCTTGTGGAAAGGCAGCATCGCCGTCATGCTGGTTGTCCGAGGGAAACACCTTACTGCTGTCACACCTTTCTACAGTCAGCAGTACGACTTCGCCCTCAGACCTTGAGTTGCTGCTTTTAGTCTTACCGTTCACCGATCGACCTGCCTGGCATGGTAGAACCTACAGGAACATATGTTCCAGCCAATATAGCTCGGTTGGGTCATCACGATAGGCAAGCCCGACCACCGCGTCAAGGTAGCAGCTTCGGTAGTATGATCAATCTATTTTTCAATAATTAACCAGAAAACAATTTAAAGACGAAAGATTTAAGTCTTGGTAAGTCACTCACAACAAATTATCTACAACGAAACTATATTAAGACTATCATTTATTCATATTCATTTGCATGACTTAGCAGTACAATAAACACTAATGGCTCACAACAGTTCAATTGGACCAAATTCAAGATATGCATCATGGGATTTGACCTAAACGTTGTACAGTTATACATCGAGAAAACTAAGCGACAAATCATTTCATAGATATATAGCTAAAAAGTAGACCAGACATATTCACGTGATAAAGAATCATATGAAAAGTATAAACAGACCATATATCTTGTCATACATGCACAATATTTTTTTTTGGAAATATATTATCCTAGCTAGTTAATATACCATACATCGATTAGAATAAGGAATTAGCTATAACTAGTGCCTAAACAACCATTACAGTCAAAATCAATGAATTTAAGTTTATCATTGCATTCTTCCGGAACTTGAAAAAAAAAGATTAAAAATGTTATACTCACAGTCTGTATTGAAACTTGTCTTCTCTCATGAACACAGAGACAAGATAGTTTTAACACACAAAAAACAGTTCTACCGTTACAAACATTTAACTAAAAATTTCATCCGACCCGAAAATATTAAACTGAAATTACATAGAAAATGTCAAGCAATAGAAGAAAATAATTTTTTATGGGAAATTAGATTTCTTTATATCTCTCTCTCCCCGAATATATATCTATAAACATTCTCACTCGAATATTATCAACCAAGCCGGAGTTTGTGTAGAACTGCGGTATGACTTCTTCATGTCAACTGGAGTTCGTCATGATTACCCTTTTCATATTTTATGTAATCTTGCCATAGATACGTTACTTTAGGTGACTATCGAACCACTTAACCTTTGAAAGACTGACCTCCAATCGGCAGATCCTCACATTGCCTTATAAAGTATAAAAATAGTTTATCATTGTCCGGCGAATGCGCTAGCAAGAGAGATGAGTGATCGAGAGACCAAGAAAAAGTATTGATCGATGAGGCCAATAGCGGTACAATCGCGACACGTTAGGAATTTCTAATATTTAGGTAAGTTTCAGAGCAGTAAGAGTAAACTCTAGTTAGAAATAAACAGCTAAAAAATCAGTTATGGTGAAGCAAGTAAATTCATATTTTCTAAATTTCTTTATAAAGCACCTGGCTAAATATATTCGTTTATTTGACTGATTAGAGGTATTTCAGAGTGTGAAACAGAATGACATGAATATAAACCGAACAGGAAGCAGAATGACTCCCAAGAATGGCGATAAGTTATGCTGATAAATCCCAATCAGTTGGAAACCAAGTTCCAAGTCCACTCATAACCCCCTTAACACTTCACAACACTTGTTATTCGTTGTAAGTTTTTAATATCGACTACACTTACAAATTTATTCTACATCCTATTCACCCAAAGTCATCACATGATACATACTTGGGTGTCGTTAATTACATCCTAAATGGAATTGAACAATATCTAAACTTGAAAAAAGTAAAATAATAAAATAAAACATTATTCAATCGTATAACTTAAAGAATGAACCAAATGAGAAGATAAGGACCAAACCAAAATAAATATCACATTTAGAGTAATCATGGTTTGAGGTTGAGATTGGAAAAAGATACACGAATAAAGGTGATATTGTATTTAGCGTAATAAACGGTTATATACTAGTTCCAAATTGTTTTTCACATTCCTTGTACACTTGAAGAATGTGACATCAACAACAAACTGCCATAGAGGCCCTTCTAAGCAAACTGCCGGTGTCAAGCCCGAAAAAAGAGAAGTTAGAGCATGGATTTGGGAATCTCTTTTCGTAAAAAGGAGAAATACTAAAAAACGCAAACCAGATCATTGACAATGAACTAAAATATCGTAAAAAATTAAACTAAGTTAGTACATTCACAAACTGTTTGTTCTCCCTTACTTGTTTTAATTCAATTTCACGAGTAATCAATTCTGACTGAGCTCGACTAAGTCTGTCCAACGTGCCAGTAGCTTCACGTTGTGTAGCAAGATAACGTTGTTCCAGAGTTGCAATACGAGCTTCTTGATCTTCACGTTGAGCTTCCAACTCCCTTAATTCTCTTTGTAAACGAGAAATCTGAAAGAATAAGGCAATATACTTCTTCAGTTTTAATGAAAAAAAATGTTGGTAACCTTACCACTAAATAATCATACCGACACGTTTTTCTCCCAAAAATATAGTACTTATTTCTAATTGAATGTGTAAAGTGGTCCCCACAAATGTCAATAATTTTTCTAGTCTAGACTCTTGAATATTAGCTGTTACGTTAAGTGTTGAAACAAATACCAAATTAATTCAGTTTGCAAAATTTGATACTAACGGCAATCCATCGATGTATGAACTGTACATACATGAGGAACTATCCTGCCATTAATCTTGAGTATTTGAGTAAAGAAAGCCTTAGATAGAAAGGAACGATGGTTGAAATATGCAACAGTCGTGTTTATCTGATGACTTATATGGTGTTAATTGTTAGTTTTAAAAAATGTATGTTACCAAAAGTATCCGAATAGTCACACGACGAAGCTGAAACAGCTTAAAGCTCTACATAGTAATTCACGCTTTTCGTTAACAGTCTCAGTGATGCACTGATTGGATCGCTATAAACATTCAGTTACATGGCTTCAAAATCGATTCTACTTACGGATTTACCCAGTGATGACCTTTTAAACCCTAAGAACTTACTTGACATACACTAAATTCCCATTAATTCACATATTGTACGATCTTTTTTCATATTTATGTATTTCTACCATACCAGTGTTATATGTAATAGTACAAATATGACCCATACACTGTTTAAAACAACAAAATTCGCACGTGGAACTTTCTGAATTTAAAAAGAAAAAACTCAGTTTAAGGTTTAGAAAGAATTTTAATGGGAAACCTAAAAATTCATTGTGAATAGAGACATTGCATAACTTGCTAAACAACGGACGTACAAAAATGTAAGAACCAGATGTCCAGTTACGTTGAAATCCCATAATAAACTGAAAATAAAAAACCTGAACTACTAATCCGAAGGCTACCACTACAATAAATCATTACAAGAAAACGAATAATACAGTCGTGAAAACAGTTTAAATTTGTGTGAAAACCTATGAATAATACATTCTAAGTGATGAATTATTGATACTACATATCCCTTAAAAATTCTAGTAGACGGAGACAACTTCGAAAATATGATTAACTTATGTAAGGTGGGTAATCTAAGCTAATTAACCAAACACACATATACAAAGAGGACCTAAAAAGCTCTAGCAAAGTTGTTGATCATCGATATAACATATAACTTTTAGAAATTCATCAAAATTAGTTGTTTTCACTCATCTTAATTTACTCATTTATTTTTCTTTTTGATCAAAACGGGATTTGTGGAGATTGTAGTGATTTTAATCGTTAAGTTCATGAGTCGCTGTAAGCTAGACCACCATTGAAAACCTGGTAGCACTGAACGGCCGTTTCGTCCTTCACTCTCGCGCGCGGACGCTTAACCTCGTGACTGGGTTCAAGTCCCGCATGCGGGATCGTGGATGCGCACTGCCCAGGAGTCCCATACTAGAACAAAACGGCCGATCAGCTTATAGCGACCTATGAATTCAACTTTTTTCCTCTTCATTAAACAAGTCAATTACTGTAAATGTAGTTAACTTTAATAATAAGAACACATTACGCCGGGAAATGGAGATAGACATGAGAAAAATGAACAAGAATTGGATGGAATTATAAAGGAAGGCCCAGGACAGAGTGGGTCGGAGAATTCTGGTCGGTGGCCTATGCTCCATTAGGAGTAACAGGTGTAAGTAAGTAAGTAAGTTAATAATAAGAATTTACAAGGCCCGATTCTGAGCAACAACTTAAACCCAGCAACTCGTGATACTATAAAACTGCCTACACCAAAGTAGGCATTGCATAGTTCATACGTACGACGATGAAACAACCGCTCAATTTCACCTTACAAAGAAGTTAAGCTTACAGTTCAAGTACGTCAAACATCACTATTGTTAATGGATTGTCATTACACAATATTGCGAAAATGTGCGACACAGGTTATCAATTTAATGACATGAAAGCATCATAGCTTCCACAAACCCTGAAGGTTCAAGATTTAGAGTTATTAGAACACGCTATTCGGGGAGTCGAAAACTAAAAAAACAACCACATAATACTTCCTAATTTCCAAAAATCCTTCAGACGATATTGGTTCACGACGAAAAATTTAAGGTATTTCGAAATCAGTTTCTGAGATATTTATAAGAAATATATTCATAAAGTGAACCAAATTAAAAAAAACAATACTATCATAGAATATATGAAGACGGCTCCTGGTGAACTCAAGGAAGCTCCAAAAGAGCCGAAGACATTCCATCCAATCATCGTTTACAATAACATTACATAATCACGACATGTAACTTCTCGATTGGACAAATGCTAAACACCACTGCATGCTGATTGAATGATTGTAATGATGATGACGTTTTTACTAAAAATTATAAATACTCGAGTGTTTTTGTATCATATTTGACACTGTATGGAATAAGATTCCTTCCCACTCGTCTTCTATCTTCTTACCTGCAACTTGGAGGGTTTGAGCGTTCGAGTGCTCAAGCTTTACGCGGTATAGCAAAATTTCAAGTTCTATATAACAGAATAGACAGACTATAAATAACGGTGGGGTATCCAGGAAACATGCTCCGTTCAATTTACAACTCGTCATCCGAATGTATCTTCCACATTCCAGTGTTCATACTCACATTGAAATTCAAACCCAGAAACTTTCGTATCAAACAAATGATCAACTGCGTTGCTACTAAGCCCTAATGACCTCTGACTTATTTAACGAGTATACTACTTATATCACCATTAAATGAGAGTTTGAATGATTCCATTATTTCGATTTACGAGTGACTACCTATACAATATATTTATTTCAATCAAACTTACAAAAATTAAAATTTTCATACATTGCAAAAAGTAATACTCATCATTAAATTGGATAATCTCATCATGGATGAAATAAAATATTAACGGGATGAGAATAAACATAAAAATACCTTTTTGTTCATTATCGTTGCACTTTCATGCTTTATTATTACCATTATTATTATCATTATTATTAGTTCAGCTAATATTTTGACAAGTTAATAACAGTTCATCGATAGTTTCGATAATTATTTTTAAAAACTAGTTTAGTCTCGGTTGTTTCACATTAGGCCAGAGAATATATATATATATAGCACTGTTGCTTATTCACATTAATGCTCATATTTCATCTAATGATAATTTAGCATAGATAAAACAGTAATCAGAAATTATTAAACTGTTCAGAAGAATGTTAGTTAGTAGATAGTGTAAATAACAATAAAAGGCAGATTGGAACAGGTGCTGGAGTTGAACTAACGTGATTTCATGACATGGGGCCATTTATCTCCATTCAAATCGAATTTAAGTATATCAAAAATGGTTGTTAAGTAACTGGATGATTTAGATTAGCTTCTTGAACGATAATAATTATTTAGTTCAGATGTAAAAACAATTAGAAGCTATCGTCATATACTTCAGTCATTAAAAAATTATAATGAAGTAATACTGTGTAAATCATTATTTAGAATTTGACTTCGTTATATCCTAAAGAAGATTAAGTTATGGGTAACTTCTGAGAACTATGGGTGGATTAATATTATACATATATTCTCATTATTTAACTGTTAAGAAACTAAACTATAAATATTTATATTCCTTTTATTATTTGACCCATTGGTTACTGTTATGATTTATTATTCCCAGGTTATTCTCAATCTATTAGTCACATTTTCTCACAATCACAGCCACTGTTGGCTTGATCTTGTACAAATGTTACTTCATATTTTATGGTGTGATGTGGTCTGATTTTGTTTGTATATAAACCAGGTACATCCAGTTGACGAGCCCCAAATAGGACGACACGCGCGTCCTGGATCCCACTGCTAGCCACGATCCATCTTTGCTTAAAAAGCTTGTGACTTAAGGCTATATCGAGGAAATCCGCACAGGATGCACATATACCAACATGAGACTGATCAATTCCAGTCCTAAATAACAGTGGGAAGATACAAGTAAAACAACAAGTGAATTTAAACCAAGTATGTTTGACATATATTATTCGATATAACGCAGGTTGATATATGCGTTCTGGATTCAACCGTCCGGTTAGGCGAGAAGCTACAACCACTAGGATCAATAAGAATTCCAGGCTGCTAGTACTGGTTTGTGCGTCATTGGTCCGGTCAATAAGTCGGTGACTCTAATTAACGATCGTATCGCGTCATATATTACCTGGGTACAAAGGCCACAATTTATAACAGGCTTCAACCGTGAGAAATTTTCATTAAACACTAGATTATAAAAGATAAAAGTATAGCAAACAAGCAAGCAAAACAAAAAAATACAAGTCACATTTACCTGATCATGAGCACGTGATAATTCTTTTTGTAATGTTGTATTAGATGCTTCTAAATCTCTAGATTTTGTAGTGACTTCAACAAGTTTACGTTCAACAGCTACAGCACTCGCAGCAGCAGCCGCTGCAGCTGCAGCAACGGATGCAACTGATTTTACACCGGAATTTTCTGCCGATGAACTTTCATCGTTTGAATCTTTTGATGTGATTGGTGGTCCACCTGGAGGTAACGAGGCCAGTTTATTGCCTACATCATTTCCATCAAGATCATCTTTACTGATTTGTGTGGTATGATTAGAATCAACTGATTTAAAGACAAAAATAAATTACAAACCATATGAACTTTATGAACACTTAATGTTAGACAACATAGGTATTTAATGAATTTTAGTAGATACTGACCAAAAAACTAGACTCATTCATTAGTGTTATAATTTATTAGAACTTTAATAAAAGGCAAAACTAGTGAGTCATATCCCATCTACTTCCTTTCTATCTTCTCTACAAACATTTTAGCAGCAAACTGATTTGTTTTTGTTTCCCTATGATGCTCCTGATTACAGGTCATCTGATTTTCAACATTTCATCGTATTACGCTGACTTATATTTTTTCCAAATATAATTTCTTTATTTACCTTCATAATGAATATTCAAGCTGTTAACAACACAATTATTATTGGTTTCTTGAATAAAAATAACGTTTTTTATACTGTTCTTTATGCTAATTTACTATTACCATATTTATGATGACTAAAGTTGTTATTACTATCATTTCGAAAAAAATTAAGTAGACATTTGCGATTGTACGGCTTTGAAAATAAATTCGTCGCAAAGAGAATTCTTCGTTGAACCAATCTTTCTTATTTGATATCTCAATGGGTATATTCTGTTTACACTCATAATTGTCATTTTTCTTTATTTTTGAACTCTACTAACTGTAATGTAATTTTATGGGAATTAAGAATGAAATTGATATGTTTTCTTTTTCAACGCCAGATCCGGCTCCTAAGCTCTGCTAGTAACGCCGAAACACAAAAACGGCAATCATAGTCGAAAGTACACTCATTTTGATTAATAATTAGGATGAAACCACATATATGAAAAATGCTCAAAGCTATAACAAATCATATAGTACATCTCATGCTGAGCATAGTACATGTTAACTTGATGCAAGAATATCGTATTTAATACAGAATAGAATGTTATACCAGAAAACAAAAATATACTACATTGAGTAATCATCACATCAAATTAAAACGGAACGAATGTTGAACAAAGATCATAATGAGCAAATCAATCTAATTTTAACTTTTCATCCCGTTATATCAAAAATCAAACCGATTGATTGCAATGATTATATGAGACAATTAGTTGCTACCGATACAAATAGTTGAGAAAATAATTATTTATACCAACTGAGTGATATGATGTTTGAAAATTAGGCTTAACAGTCAGGTCTTGAACAAAATGAAGAACGAGTGACCTACATGTTAATTCCTTCCAACTACCTACAACATTTTATATTGTAAACAAACATTTTAACACAAGTCATATTCATCTGAACATTGGTTTTCTTCATTTTTAGTCACTCAAGTATTTGTGTCAATACTACAGTTTAGTAAATATCCATCATTCAGCCACATCATCCAAAGACTAACATTCCACTCACTGATTATAACAATAGAGAAATTTCGTATTATCAATTGTTAAAAAGACTCCTTCACAACACCAAGTCACCAACTACTTCATTGTGTTATATCTACAGGAGAAGTGAGATATTAAAAAAAGATCAGCCTTCTAAACTATGCATATTTTTTCAATTACCAATTGTCATTGATTCTTTTGACTTACTCTTTACTGCTTCTTCTACTTTCCACTACTAACAGCATTACTACTTAATTTTATTTTTCACTCCGTTAATTCAAATCAAAACAATTTCCACTAATTCACTTATCTCTCAGGACTTACTTTAAGTTTATCTTCCTATCACGAGCATGTCTTATTTATAGTAGATTAAGTTAGAAAGCTAAAAGTTTATATGTAACATTTTTATGAATGTTTCTTAACTGAAAACAAATACCTAAATGATAATTACTCAGATACTCAAAATGGAAATATTCAACTTCTAATAATGAATAAATGAATAATGCTGAAAAGAAATAAACAATGATAATGAACCAAAATCAAATATTTTTAAAAATAAAACTTACCATTTCCATTCCCATTCACAGTTGATACAATTTGTTGTTGTTGTCTTTGTTGAACTGCTGTTGCAGCAGCAGCTACACCAGCTAATGCTGCAGCTAATTGTTCTCTTAATGCAGCACGATCAGCAGCAGATGAACGCACTTCTTCTTCTAGTTGTGCACCACGTTCTAATGCTGTACGTAAACGTTCACGTACACGTTCATCTAATGCTTTATGATGTTCAAATAATGATTTTAATGCTTTTAATACTTCGACTTCAGAACTAACACCACCAGGACTATTTACTTGTCGTTTTACAACTGTCATTCGTAATGAACGTTCATGTCTAGCAACTAAACATTCTAAATGTTCTAAAAGAAGCTGAGATAAATCAATTAAAAAACAATAATAAAAAAAGAAAGAGATTTTATTCTGTCAATAAAATAAGGAATAACATATATTCGATTAATTAAATTATTTATTACATTACAATATGATAAATCGACCTTAGTTAAACATCCATTAAAAACCAAGAAGCACTGTAGAGTTGTTTTATACAAGTACAGAAATCCTCAACACATAAGACCATCCCACAAACTATTAAGTCCAGAACTTGCAGCCTGTATTGCATGAGCCCAACATCCATACCAGTGAGTTGGTGAATTAATTTAAACCAGACATACAAACTACTAAACCTTGACTCAATGATCTAAAGGGCTCAACAGGAAATCCAAACGTCCAGAGTTCGATCCAAAGTAAAAATATGTATGTATGCTAGTGAGGAGTCCCAGATTAGGACAAACGTTATTCATTGCTCTCTGGTTTTCAGTAGCTGCCTAAGATCATTCCGTGATATAGACTTTAAAAACTTAAAAGTTTCCAAAAACTACCTAAAATAATAAAATACATATGATTTAAAGATTCATCTTATATTAAAAGTAGCAAAACTCATTCACTATACAAAAATTTTAAAAAGTGATCTACCACATAAGAATTAAACGATAAACTGGATTATTTATTTAACACAATAAAAATAATCAAACAGTTTATCGACTTCGTTATCCTTTTCTCATGATCATCAACATTATCATTTATCTACTTCTTCATAACATACAATTGTACACTATTCATAAATTGACTTTAAATGAAAGTAAACACACACTACCTTAATCGAGTTACAGCTTGTTCATCGATCACACACACAAATAGTATTAACAAACAATTGGTAATGATAACATTCTTTTTAGAGGGATACTAGTTATCTTTCAGTTGAAGATTGGTTATTTTACACATTCATAAAGTCCAGTGAACTGGTATAATCAGTGGAAAATTAAGATACATGGTTTCTTGTTTTTACTCCTAATGCTTAAATGTAACACATGAGTATAAAGCGGTGAATCTGAGAGTAACTAAAATTAATTTTTAAAGAAGGTTTACGCATAAATAAGTGTCAAAAAATTTGATAATCATGATTCGAAAATATGATTAAATATTATACACATCAAATTTTAAAAATCGATCACTGGAGGAGTCTGGGAAAACTACAGGTCAGTGTAACAATCAGACACAGTACATCAGTCTAGTGTATTCGATCATTTAGGATATATAACATTAAAATTTTATTCTACTTTACATTTTTTTAGTGTTGCACGTGTATGTGCGTGTGAGTGAGAAACGATTGTTTGTTTGCTTTGCTGTCAAACAAACTTTCACCTGAAACCACGATTATCGTTTGCTAATCCATAGATGCCCAGATTACTCGAAAATTTTAAGTATCTTTCCTCTAAAATGTATGTTCCAGAAAGTAGCTGACACAGTTATAATATGGTTAGAAGTCTAATAATTCTTAAGCGGCGTAGAACCTGGTGTATATCTGGATCTTTTCAAGTTGTTACACTACAAAAGAGCCATTGAAACTATCATGATTAATCCAAGAATAGTAGAGTTGTAGTGAACAGAACAGGGGTGGGCGATAATCGGATATATTTCACACAAAATTACTGGACTTGTTAATAAAATCTAACAATCATATAGTAAATGCTTAATTTACAAAATGTCCACCAATTGTCTCAAAATGACTCAGACTTCATTGTTCTTGGATTTTCATACAACTTGCATTCTGTTTCCATTCTTTACTGTTCGATCCTCTTGTCTCTCTGCTGCCAGACCTTCTATTCACGACTAACATCATGTCAATATAAGTAGCACACAACAGAGATAGTGATAATATCAGTTTTGTGAGAAAGGATTAAACGAAAACAATATGATTCGAAAAGACTGAATCCGCTGAAAAAGTATGGGAGAAGTTTAAAACCTAGAACTTAAAGGAAGATAGGGAGTGAACGCATCCACCTCACTCACCATCAACAATCACTAGCTAGAAGTTAAATTTAATAGATTAAGTTTAAGCTTATGAAAATATAAAAATATAACTAAATAAATTTGAGAAACAACATACCCTTGTATTATTTCTTTCCGATTTCAACTCAACAATTTCTTCTTCTCGTTCAGAAATTTGATCACGTAAACGATGTACTTCTTTGGCCAGTAAAGATAAATCCTACAAGTGAATAAACATAAAGCACAATAAAGATATTTTTTTCGAAAACTAGAAGCAAGAAAAGAATAAAATCTTGAAATTTGTATAGAAGTGTCTTAAACAATGAAGCTTCACACTACATATATCTAGAAGGTTAATTTATTCATTACCGATTGAATATGCACGGAAGACACTATCGAACGCTCTAAATTCAAAACCAATATACTAGAAAAGTCCAATCTGTGTAGTAATAAATATATTTTTATGATATCCCAATGAGTAGAAAATTGTATTTCTGACGTTTTGTGACTCAGTGTAAGTCACTCTGAAGAAGTGTCTTACATTAAGTTACAAAACATGAGAAATACAATTTCCTACTCATTGAAACATGACAAAGAGTATATTAATTAATAACTTTCTACTCGATGTTCAATTTATTTGAAACTAATCTATGTAGATTGAAACTAATAAGGAATCCATGAATTACATAGGCGAATATAGTGTTTCACAGAATGGACAGAATATAACTATTGTCAAACATATATATAAATTGATAGGTGCTTGTTGAGAGTTTGTATAAAGCCAGCCAAAAGATACCTAAAGAATTTGTAACAACTTGGAGTGACATAAGTGTATCAATCAAAATTGACTCACCTAAAAACAGAACAATAGTGAGTACATTATTTTTAATAATTCATATGAACTCAATAAACAATTATTTTTATTATATAAGAAGTTGCTAGTTCCTCAATATGATCTTGTTATTTTAAATACTGATACCATAAATTTTGATCTGAAAAGTTTGTAATTTGTTTCACCCAGTCAAATTCTAGATATTATCAACCATTTTTTTAAAACATGTATGCACATCATATGATGAGTCAATGTATCTGGTGATTCCAGTACATAACTTCATCAACTGATCTATACCAAATTTCACCACAACTCCTTTTATAACCCCAGGAACCACAGACTAAGAGAATCTACAGTGAGTAAGCAATAGTGAAGATTACTGTCTTTCATATATAGACTATCCACTTTCACACAACGAATCTGTCAACTGTATATTGGCATAATAACTTCAAATCTTTGCATACCATTTAAAATGCACATCACAGAGAGTGAATAAAAACGTTCGTTGTAAGAATTTTCGGTTGACCACAATGTATTGATATAAATATCCTGTTCGTTTTTGATCAGCTGAAAAGTGATGAGACTTCGGTATGCATACTACAAACTAAACTGATTACCATTGGTGCACACTGAGTGTAGTAGGTATCAATTATCATCTACGTTATAAAATATTTAAATTTTAAGTATAGCACTGTCCACTTAAACGCCATATAAATAGTTGTTAGAAATAAATGAAGAAAAGTCCATACATTCAGTAAACTATGTCTTTTCCACACCACCTATTATAATTGACGCAGTAATAGGAATGATACCAAAGTTCGAAGAACACTTTAAAATAAAAAAGTATTCTAGAGATTGTAAATGTTCCCTATACACTTTTGTGGTCATTGTTAATTTCACCTGAATTAAGACGACAGTGTATAAAATCCTTGAAATGCCCGGATTAAATCTGCCCAACTAACGGCAAACCTAATAACTATTAATCTTTAAACAACGTTTTCGAATGAAAATTCATTGTAAAGAATAAATCAATGGTCTATCACATTCTTTGATGTTAACAAAAACTTACATTCTACATTGTCCTGTACACTATGGAAGAGCTAGTTGTGCAAAACCTCTCAATGATGATTTACTTCTTCCTGATGAAAAGCTTTGAAGGATACAATTTTAATATCATCAACTTATCGGATTTAGTTAGTAGAGATGGTACAAAATCTTAATATGTAATGTTATTTCAAACGTGACTATCTATCATCAACGAATGATGGTAACTTTAAAAAAATTCATGTTATATTAATCAAACACAGATTTGCAGTTGAAAACAAGCATTGAGTTACATGAATTACGTTCTTACATCGATTTTTGGATTTAAAAAAAACACCATATTGTATTTTAATCTTGGCTCTTAACAGAATACATACAATAAAATAATGGTTTTCTATGTTAAAGGTTACATATTTGAAGATATTTGATTGAAAGTTTATTTAAAGTCCATATCATGTATTTGAAAAAGTTTTAGCAGTATTAATCAAATATGAAAACAGAATTAGGAAAATATCAGATGGGTTTTGTGGAGATTGTAGTAATTTCAAGGGTTTAGATTATGAGTCAGTTGAAGCTAGACCACCATGGAAAACCAGGAAGCACTGAACGGCCGTTTCGTCCTATTATGGGGCTCCTCAGCAGTGCGCATCCACGACCTCGCGCCCTGCGAGATTCGAAACCAGGACCTACTGGTTTCGCGCGCGAGCACTTAACCACTAGACCACTGAGCCGCAGGGGGCGAGGTCGTGTATGCGCACTGCTGAGGAGTCCCACAATAGGACGGAACGGCCGTTCAGTGCTTCCAGGTTTTACATGGTGGTCTAGCTTCAACTGACTCATGATCTTAACCAGTGAAAGAATTAGGAAAAAACAAACAACTAATTTTGTTTTAAATAAATTTTTGTTAAATCTAGAACATACGAAATATTAGAAACAACTTTTAAGTATTGAAGTAGATACTTTTTAGATTGAACTGAGAATCTACAGAGATTGTAGTCAGAGGCAAGATTAACATAACGAAATAGTGCTAGTATGTAGCATGAGTAATTGAAGAGGGTGACACCAATAACTAGGACTAATTGGTCAAGTTTCAGGTAACAAAGTATATATTCAGTATCCTAGCTACGAGCTCATCATTAGTTCAGTCTTACTATGAAAGTTATTACAAGTCACACAGATGATGACCACGATTATAAACCGTAACATAAGGTACCTAGTAAATAAATTAATATATTTGTAATATCCTAATGGGTAGAAAATTTAATTTTTCTACTCATTAGAATATTACAAATAAATTTATTTATTTATAACAATCTCCCTAATGCTCAATTTATTCGAAGTTACCAATTCAACACTATTGGGTGCCATTAATACACACCAATGAGTATTACCATATGTTCACGAAACCGGGAGACGTTTATTCTAAAGATATTCGTATGATACACAAATAAATTCAGAACACTACAATTGGATAAAGCTCAAAGGATTTATAGCTAAACAAAAATAAAAACAAACACGACTGAATATTTCAAGAACTACCATACTACTATTCCACTTTGCCACATCTATGTGTATCTACGAATTCAGCTGCTCCTATGGAGAAAGCTATTGATAAGTCCTCTAATTGAATGCTAGATTCGGTTCCTAAGCTCTTCTAGTAACCCCCAGGCTAAATCTACGCAGAAACTTGAACACGAGAGAAAAGGCGCGAAATATGGAAGAAACGCTTTGCTTCCTTCGTTGTTAAGAAAGGATACAGTCAAAACAAAACGTAGCTCTATTCTATCACACTTGATCGATAGCGGTGATGTAGTAAACAGAAATAGATCATTTAAAGTGATTTGTCGTATTCTTACTAGTTTTCCTTATGGGGTTCGATTTCGTCTCTTACACATAGCAGAAGCTTCAGGGATTCCAGCTAACAGTCCAAGTCTTTGCATTCATAAGAAATTTGTAACACACTTTTTCTCTTCCTTGGCCTTAATAAATGATTTTATTTATTATTATTTTCCATACTCTTCGTTTATTGATCTCCAACCCCTGCCACCTATTTTTTTCCCCAAATATAGGCTTCATTGTCCAATTATCTGAACACCTCTTATTACATAATACTATAGTTTTTATGAATGTTATCTCAGCATCTATATTTTTTGACCTAATTCCCACTATGAAATACGGATACAAGCCTTTATTATTCTTACCACAACTAGTACACCTGTCATTACACTCAATTTGTACTTTCTATTTATTATGTTTATTTATGTAATCTATCCCACTATCATCACTGAATCACAAACTCACTTGATTGATTTAATAACTTCATATATGCATATAAATACTACTGTATATTAGAGTACAGCCTGATGAGGATCTAATCGAAAACAATATTGTTAGCTCATATACACTGTTCTAATAACAGAGATGTCAATAAAATAGTCTTACAGTAAGAGTGTATTTTCTTTCTTCTCAACAATAAAAACTTATCAAATCAGTTTGTATTATAAGTGCTTATGGACGATAGTCACGTGATGTATAAGAGCAGAGTCAATTTCATGCCTTATTCGCCTCCCTTTACCAACCTACCATATATTTTGATAATGTCAGTCAGTTCTGACTATGCATATAAGAATTACAACTGTTGAAGAATCAAATTTCAAAAATCCTAAAATATTCCAGTTAAGAAGAAAAGGAAGAAGAAAGAAAACAAATAGACGAAACGACAAGAGAAACCGAAAACAAAAACTTCGTAAAACCAAGGTGTGAGAAGTACTCACAAGCAATAAAAAGTTTAATCACTGTCAGAAGTAAAAAAAATTGATTTCAAAACTGGTTTTTCGTTTTATTCCATACTTATATATATATATATATATATCTTCTGCGTATTAAACACTTGTTGTATGTTGTGAACAATAAGCAAATTAAATATCAATAATTAGATTTGGCAGAAGTAACAGTTGTGAAATGCAATCGTGAATATACATTGCCTCAAATCAATCAGTAAATTTATCTGTAATACTAGTTTAATTAGTTATATGTTATTCAATAATTCATCTAGAAATCGACATTAAATTGAATTCAAGGAATTACTATTTTCATGACGATATTTGACGGAATGTTATACTCAAGTGGATAATGCAATCTTAAACATAATTCTTGATTGTAATACATTTTAAAGTAATTTTCAATGAGAACAAACCTTTAATTATATAATTTCGTAAATAATCATCTGGAATTTCGCAAACTATAAGACCACTTCATTTATCATCAGCTTATGTGGATCGTTGGCTTAATGAACAATCCACTTGGATATCAATTAAAAAACTAAAAAAAGTCTAAATATTATT